AGAATTGTAAAAATTTAAGGTTACATTTTATTCGTATCAAAATTTATCATATTAATATACAATAATAATACCTTCTTTAGCTACTTTAATCATATATGGGATTATCATTTGATTCCATAATTTGATAAACCATTCGCGTGATTCTACAACACTTAATGGACATTGGAGGAATAAACGTGGTCCTATCGTTACATCCCGGGAATTCGCTTTTTCAATGAACTGAAATTTATTTGCATTATTTTTATATTAATTTTTAAGTATTATTTCTTTTTCCCATAAATAAATAAATTTTCTAAGTAATAATTATTATTACTGCTACTCATTTTTATTAGCCTTAATTGTTTGTGAATAATTAAAACATTTGAATATTTCAAGTATTTTTTAGAAAAAAAAAGTTTGATGACTTTTTTTTTTTTAAAAAAAAGGTCATCAAACTTAAAATATTCAGGTATTAGTTTTAAAATAGATATTATTATCATGTTTACTTACGGAATTTACTGATGATAAAACTCTTGGCAAGAATTCAACAACCCGGAATATTTCCGGTGATGATCGTTCATCACCACCAAATTCTTTTTCTAAAATACGACGTCGCAAAAATCGTCCCATATAACCACGAATTGCATCCATATTATTGGGCAATAAAAACATTCGAAAATTATGTTGAACCTGAAAATTTTAAATCAAAATAAATACAAATATTCTTTTTAAATTATATTTAAAAAAAACAAATTAAATTGTTCAAAAAATTTGGATTAGAAGATTATAATTGAGTCAAAATTATAATCAAATAATATAACGAGAAAATTATCCTCTCTCATATCATAAATATTTTCTACAGTAATCTTATAGTAATTATAAAACATTTTTCTTTCTTTTTTTTTTTTTTAAAAAGTTACCTCTAATTCAGGTAATTGTGATGCTCGATTTACGGTACAAATTACATATGGCCCTTCTTTCGATGCTGTATCAACGGTACTAAATGATGAACTGAGAAAAGCAATACGATGTCGTTGAATATTATCCAATAAAATGATTACAGGTTTCGTTGAACGTAGCAATGATTCTAACTGTTTTTGCACCTAATTTCAATGAAAATTAAAATTAAGAAAAAAAATGAAATCTAAATTATCAAATAAATCTAAGTCAAAAATACAATTAGCTAATTAATTCCTATTACAATATGATATGGTTTTTTTTCTTGTAAATAAAATGATAAGCAAAAAGTATAAAAAGAAAATCAAAAATGTAATAAAATTTTTCATCAATATCTATTAATAATTAACCTGTGCCATATTACGATCATTATCATCATCACCAATTTTAATATCAACAATGGTATTCTGTAATGTTCCACCAACTTTAATGCATAAATAACGAGCTAATAAACGAGCTAAATTTGATTTGCCAATTCCGGTAGCACCAAATAATACCAAACGACGATTTTGCAATAATGCTTTCAGTAAAAGCTCAACAGTTGATCGTGGAAATAAACAATCCATTACAAGGCCATCAACACTACGTTGTGTCACACCTATAATAAATCTGTCGTAAAATAATAAACAAAAGATAATATACTGTAAATAGAGTGATAAAAAGAAATCATTTCTAAGCTTATTTGATCATCAAAATTCATCCTTATCTCATAATAATTTATCCCTTTCTATAATATATTTCTTTCGAATATTTATTTTCATCTTATTCTTTTTCTATTCTTTTTTCTTCACCCTATATCAGTATTTAATCGTTCATAAATTATTGCGGGAAAAATTTTTTGTTCTATAGTAGTTATCACTATTATCAATGATTATTTTAAGTAGATGATAACAAATAAAAGAAGAATATCATATCATTGATGTTCACAGGTATCAAACAAACCATTAAATTAAATTATCATGAATATGATTATTACCATAAATTATGATCGAACCAAAATTTTAGATATCTTTAATCCTTTTAGCTTAAAAATGTAAAGTTTATCATCACGAAAATAATCATGATAAAATAATCATATTCTAAATAATCATGATACAAGAGATAAATTTATTCATAATGATTCCAATACTTATTACACATAGATATACAAACTCTCTATCAAATATGATACTTTATTTCTGGCTCATATCATTTCTGGCTCATATCATATATTGTATTTCAAGTTTAAACATAATCGAAATTCAGCATTTAAAATCTATTTGATTTTAATTGG